CCTCTACGTCTCCCTCCCATCCTCTATGAAACTCCTCCTCCTCCTCCATCCTCTGCCCCCTCCTCCATCCTCTGCCCTCCCTTTCTTCCCCCCACCTCCCACACCACCACCACCACCACAACACCAAGAACAACACCACCATCACCACCACCACCACAACCACCACCACCACCACCACCACCACCACCACCACCGCCGCCACCACCACCACCACCACCTCCTTCCCAGGCGCACCTGCCTCCTCCTCCTCCTCCTTCTCCTCCTCCTCCTCCTCCTTCTCCTACTCCTCCTCCTCCTCCTCCTCCTCCCTTCCTGCAAACGCCTTCCCCTCCCCCTCTCCGCATCCCCCCGCCCGCCCCCGTCATCCTTCCCTTTCCTTAGTTCATTCCGTCTCCTTGAAACTATCTCCTCCCTGTCGCACTCACAGGGTGGAGGGGAGGTGGTTTTCAAAATGCTGCCCGCCTGGCCCCATGGAAATGCGCACATTCGCCTAACAAGAACACGACAGGTGCACTGATGGAGCACAAGTAGTTTTCAAAATGTGGCTATCGCGTTAGCGCCGTGCGCATGTGGCCAAACATGTTGCAAGTGTTCTGAGGATGCAGCATCGGAGCATTGGAAGTTTTCAAAATCCGCCGGCCCTGTTGGCGTGAGTGAGGGGCTTCTCCGTTTGAATCATCGTCTCCGTCGTCTCCTCGTCGTCCCCGTCGTCGTCACAGTCGTCTCCTCGCCGTCTCCGTAGTCCCCCGTCTCTTTCCCTGGGCCATCCTCCTCAAGCGCGCCATCCAAAGCGAAATTGAACAACGTCGTAGTGAAGTCGAAAGGAAACCCCTTCCCTTTGATCCCTTCCCCGTGGGGGGGGGACGCCACCCATATTCGTTTACCCCTCGGGCGGCCCTGAATTCAGAAAAGTCCCAACAGGAGCCCAGAATGCCCAGGACGGCCCCCACGATGGCCCAAGAGGGCCCCTCGAGTCCCCCAAAGATCGGCCCAAGACGCCCAAGATGGCCCCAAGACGGTCCAAAAAGCTTCCAAGACGTTCCAGGAAGTCTCCAAGAGCACCGCAAGAAGGCCCTAAGAGGCCACAGCCATTGATTTCCCATAGAAAACAACCTACACTATTTGCATCTACGAGTTGTCTGCCTTCACGGCGTTGAAGACGGTCCAAGAGGCCCCCAAGAACGCCTCAAGACGGCTCAAGAGGCTTTCAAGAGGCGCCCAAAACGGCCTAAGAGAGCCCCAAGAGGGGCCCAAGACGGGGAGCCCGAACCAACAATCCGAGCCTTCCGCCCCAAAAAGCTCCCAGGAGGCCCCAAGAGGCCCCCCCAAAGGCCCCAGGAGACTCCCAAGAGGCTCCCCAAGAGGCTCCCAAGAGGCCCCAAAGAGGCGCCAAAACGGCCCCCTCCTTTTCCTCCTCCTCCTCCTCCTCCTGTCCTCCTCCTCCTCCTGTCCTCCTCCTCCTCCTCCTCCTCCTCCTCCTCCTCCTCCTCCTCCTCCTCCTCCTCCTCCTCCTCCTCCCCCCCTTGCTCCCCCTCCTCTTGCGCCCCCTGTGCCTCCTCCTCCTGCTCCTCCATCTTCGTCGTCTTCAGGGTCGGAAGCACCGGCCGTAAGGCCTTCGCAATAGCATTATCGCCGTAGCGCTGTGTGCATTCGCCTCAAACTGTTGCACTTCCACGGGTAGAGCACGGTTCGTGTTCAAAGTGTGACCCTCGCGTTGGCGCCGCGTATACTTGTCTAAAAAAAAGCAAAAAAAACAAAAAAAAAAAAAAAAAAAAAAAAAAAAAAAAAAAAAAAAAAAAAAAAAAAAAAAAAAAAAAAAAAAAAAAAAAAAAAAAAAAACGGCAACAGTTCACGGATGAAGGCGGTTCCTTTTGGAAAACTTCGATTTCACCTTCGCGACGCGCACACAGTTCTCACAAGTTCGCAAGATATCCATTTTCCCGAAAGCGGACAGGCCACCAGTGTCTCCAGCAAGCGACGTAGCGGGTGAGATTGCAGCGAACTGATAGAACAATTGTCAGGGCACGTATCAGGCTGCGCCCAAGCAAATAATCCAACTCCGGAGCGAGAATGGCAGCCGAAGCGAGACGAGAAGGAAGATTAAGTACAGAAGAGTGTCCAAGCACAGAGTATAGGGTATAGGAGACAGTGGCGACTCAACCCGCGTACATCATGGATTCCCCGACAGTTCGACGCGCAAACAACACAGGGGCTGGTGGGCAGCTTCCCTGGATATCATCCCGACGAGCCGCATTGGCCAAAAGAAGTGGCATTGCCATCTATACTGGCAATTGCCGCGTTGCCGTGGACGAGACGCCGCACATCGCCGGTGTATCACGGGGGAAGGAAAAGGACGAAAAGGGAGGAGAGAAAAAGGGAGCGCGACAACAGACAGGAACCTTGTGGGAAAATCAAAACTTTGGGTTGCAACTGGATGCGGGCACTGCTGCGCCCAGCAAACACGACGCTGCTCCACAGCGGCTGCCAAGGGAGAATATGTGCGGCTAAAGCGACCCAGGGTCGACCAGCAACGGCCGCAAACACCACCGCGCCATGCCCGTGCAGGCAGTACAATCGAAGCCAGCAATTCGGAGAAAGAGAGCAGGGGTGCACGCGCCGAACGTCGCGGCTGACCCGTACGGCCTCCAGGCATCGTGGGCAAGTTGACAAGCCAGTTCCAAGTCGAAAGCAATGAGCTCTCTTCGCACGCCGCACCAAACTACGAACTCGCCGCTGTCCAGATTTGAAACTCCGAGTGGCCGAATTCGGGGGGGGCGAGGACGAGACAGGCAGAGGAGGAAGAAAGCGGGCCAACCCCAGCAAGGCTAGCCAGCGTTCCGCCTCAGGGCAAAGACGAGGCGGGGAGGAGTGCGAACCGATCTTCACGGACTCGGGAGGCACTGAGGCTGCGACCATCGATCAAGCACTCGGCCACGCAACAACCCGCCCTGCGGAGTCGATATGCCACGAACCTGGTGCGCCGTGGCCGCGGCTGTGTGGCCGGATAACGGCTCCGAAACTCATCAGCCCCGTGCTGCGGATGCACCAACAGTGAACTCTTGGTGGCAGTCTCAACGGTCACAGAAACAATGCACACAGTTTTGAATCCGGACTGACTCCTAAAAGCAGGTTGACGCAAGCTCCGGGAACCTCCCTCCTCACACGCCCGCCTAATTGGGGTCACAACGTGTCCAGAGACCGTGGCCGAAAGTTCGCAACACTCTCACAGATGAAGCACAGGTCGTGTTAAAAGTGCGGCTCTTGCCCTAGCGCCGCGCAAACTCGCCTTACAAAATGCAACAGTTTCAGGGGTGGAAGACGGGTGGCGTCAAAATGGTGACCTCGCCTTAGCGCCGGTCACATTTGCTTTAAAGTTCGCGCCAGCACCAGTTCCTTTTCAAAGGGGGGCTCTCGCCTGAGCGCCGCGAGCAGTCGTCTCAACATCTTCTAACAGCGTCGATAATTAAGCACTGGCCGCGCATTCGCTATTATGCAAAATTCAGCAGGACGGAACCCTATACTCTTTCAAAGTTGAGCTATTGACTGAGACATCGCAAAGTTTCAAGACCCGAAACATCAACGCACGTAGCGATGCGCGGATCCATGGCGGCTCGTTTTCAACATTGCACTGCGACGCGCTCGAAGCACATGACCACAAGCGTAAACGCTTACAACAGTCACGCGGATGGGGGGCGGACCTTCTTCGAAAGGGGGATCTCGTTGGAGACATCGCCGAACTGTATGATCAATGTCTTCCGCGCACTTGACTACGTGGCAACGAGGTGCAAGGCGATCCCTGATCGAAGCGGGGACCTCGCCAAAATAGCAGGCCCCAAACGTGCTGGTCTTTCAAGGGGGCGACTCTTGCAGCGAAAAAAACAGGAGGACTGGCAGAGGCGTTGAAAAAGAGGGACTTGGGCCGGGAGGGCGTATGCATCTTGGATTACGCTGCTCCTCCTCCTCCTCCTCCTCCTCCTCCACTTCCTCCACTTCTTCCTCCTCCTCCTCTTCCTCTCCCTATCTTCCTCCTCTTCCTCCTCTTCCTCCTCCTCCCCTCGCACCCTCAATGTCCCCAAATACTGCAGACAGGACTCCTACCCCTGGCCAATGCACTCACAATGTTGGTACTGGTCACCCCCCTCGAATGTGTGCAGATCGCCGCCGTGTCTACTTCAGCACCAGCCTGCAGCCCACAACACCTGTGTAGCTAGGCCGAAAGCCAGAGGCACGGCTTCTCCTCGCTGCTCCCCTGCGGCTTGCTGCCCTTCCCGCCGTCCCTCCCCTCCATCTTCCCCCTGTTCCTCCTCAACCTCATCATTCGCCTCTGATCCTCCTCCCTCCTCTGACGACAAAGCCGACGACGACGGCGACGACAACGACTACGGCGACGACGACGACGACGACGACGACGACGGCGGCGACGACGACGACGACGACGACGACGACGACGACGACGACGACGACGACGACGGCGTCGACTGACGACGACGACGACGGCGGCGGCGGCGGCGGCGACGACTGACGACGACGACGACGACGACGACGACTGACGACGGCGACGACTGACGGCGACGGCGACGACCGACGGCGGCGGCGACGGCGACGGCGACTGCGACGGCGACGACTGCGACGAAGGCGACGACGACTGACGATGGCGATGACGACGACCGACGGCGGCGGCGACGACGACGACTACGGCGACGACGACGACGACGACGACGACGACGACGACGACGACGACTGACGACGACGACGACGACGGCGACGACGACGGCGACGACGGCGGCGACGACGACTGAAGACGACGACGACGACGACGACGACGACGGCGACGACGGCGGCGACGACGACTGAAGACGACGACGACGTCGACGACGACGACGGCGACGACGACGGCGACGGCGACGACTGACAACGACGACGACGACTGACGACGGCGACGACTGACGGCGACGGCGACGACCGACGGCCACGGCGACGGCGGGCACCAGCCCTCCTGCTCAGAAGGCCGAGCGGCGCAGCCAAAAGAGGCCCGCCAGCGAGCCGGCCTCTTCCGCGCGCGCGCTTCGCACCCGCTCGGAAGGCTCAGAGTGAAGATGATGATGATGATGATGATGATGATGATGATGATGATGATGATGATGATGATGATGATGATGATGCTGATGCTGCTGATGATGATGATGATGATGATGATGATGATGATGATGATGAGGATGAGGATGATGAGATGATGGATGATGATGATAGGAGGAGGAGGAGGAGAGGAGGAGGAGGAGGAGGAGGAGGGGGAAGGCGAGGGGGAGGAGATGGAGGAGGAGGAGAAGGAGGAGGAGGAGGAGGTGGATGAGGAGGAGGAGGAGTTGGGCCTCTCCCGCGTGCGCGCGCTCCGCACCCGCTCGGGAGGGGTGGCAGGATCAGCAAACGCCCCTGCTCAGAGTGAAGAAGAGGAGGAGGAGGAGGAGGAGGAGGAGGAGGAGGAGGAGGAAAAGGAGGAGGAGGAGGAGGAGGGGGAGGAGGAGGAGGGGGAAGGCGAGGAGGAGGAGGAGGAGGAGGAGTTGCGCCTCTCCCGCGCGCGCACACTCCGCACCCGCTCGGGAATTGAGGGGGCAGGATGAGCACGCCCCTGCTCAGAGTGAAGAACTTCTGCGCGTTGGCGGAGGGGACGCCTTACGGGGCCAGCGAGAAGCAGCAGCTCGTCCTGTTCATTGTGTGGCTCGAGATGGTGCTGACAGAATCCTTCCGACCATTATGACGATGACTTCGATTTTTGGAGGTCAAGAGGCTCTCGTACTCGTATCGCTATAGCAGCACGGATGAGCAGCCCAACGTCCCTCCTGAGAGTGAAGAACTTCTACGCTCGGGGTGAAGCACTTCTACGCTGAGAGGATCAGTATCGACAGCGCTGTTGTCAAAGACCTTGAGGATGTCTCGGAGCTCCTCACCATGCAGATGGCGAGGTACATGCCGAGCAGGGGCTTCGGGTGTCTGCTTCGGGGTGGCCCTTGCGATCTACCGCATTTTCAAGTTTTTCGAGGGCTTCGAGAGCTACACCATCTTCTACACCAGAACTTCTACGCTAAGAAGACGGACCTCACTCCAAGAGCGTTTTCGCGGCAGCCCAGGTCCAGAGGTGCGACAGGTCTGCGACACAAGAGGCTTCAAGAGAACGCCCCGGGCCCAGCTCCGACTCTTGTCTTGATTCTCTACAGCGACATCGGAATACCATGAACACTGACGCGTTTTCCTAACATGTCCGATGGGTGTAGAGGTGGCCGGGGCCAGGGACACACAAATCAATAGACACACATCGGGCTACATCGGATCGTAGCAAGTCGGAATCAAATCGGTTCGGGCCGGCCAGAATCGATACCGAACCGGATCGAACGGATCGGAACGGACCCCGAGGGGCGGGGGAAAGGAGGGGGACAGGCACAGGCAGCAGAGGTGCAGTCGAATCGACGGCATCAGGGTTCAGAGGGGAGGGGGAAGCGGGCGAGGCTCCCCGGGGCACGCTCCATCACCACCCTGCACACGGCAGTCGTGGCGCCCAGGGGTGTGCACCACGGCTCTACCTTATACAGGGGGCCACGCCAGGCGCCCGCAGGTACCTCTCGGCAGACGCAGCAGCCGACGACTGGCGGAGACGAGCCAGCCTCAAATGGCCAAATCACAAGTCGGCTCGTCGCCTGGGCCCCACCGCGGAAAACACGCGGTGAGCACGGGTCGGCCGCAGCCCCGCAGAAGCAGAGAGGGTCAACTACCTAGAGTCCTGTCCGCCTCCTCAGCGTCGGCCGCGACGTCGTCGGTGGTTGTCGTCGACGTCGTCGCATCGACGCCGTCGTCGGTCGTCGCCGAGGTCGTCGGAGGCGGAGGATGCGAATGGGAGACGAGGGAGGGGGGAGGGGGAGCAGGGAGAAGAATGATGAGGATGCACAATGGGTTGCAAGCTTGGTTGCGCCACAAGTTGGGCAAGACGCTGCACCATAAGCTGCACATGTGAAGTTGCACAATGGGTTGGGCCATAGGCAAGCCGAAACTAACGCGGACGACTAAATTGCGCGACAAATTCAGCCCAGCCAGTCATTCATCCTACTCCACGGAGAGTGCGTGCAAGCTACGCCCGACAACACACACCATTCAACAATCGGCCTGTACATGAAATGCGGGGACCGAAGTTTCAGCTGCAGCATACGTTCGCGTGCCAAGCTTACCGCTCGTTTCGATTAGGGTATATTCCCGAGCTGCTCGCGCAGCTGGTGGGCCACGGCAGTCCCGACCCCCCTTCTCGCCCCTGCGGCAAGCGTAGCCTCGCCTCCCGCAGACTCCAGAACCGGCGTTGCCGGCATCGCCACCGCGACCCAGGGGGAGCTGAGCTCCTGGCAGCCGCAGGCGCTGGGTGCGCATGAAGGGCGCGAGGGCCGTCTCGCGCGCGCGGCGCCAATCTACGCGTCGCGCAGCCTGGGGGCGCGGCTGCTGGCCACCCCTCGGCGGGTGGACGCCCGCTGCTCTCGCCCGCCGCGCCCCCCCTCGGCGGCCAGCTGCCTGGAGGTGTGCAGGCGGGCCCGCGCAGCCTGGAGCGACGCCAGGGGAGCGGGTGGTGGCGGCGGCAGAGCTCCCGCGAGGCCAACGCAGACAGGTCTGGAGAGAAACGCGGGTTCACCCGCCTCAGGCTTATCCCTACCCCGAAGGCTGACAAGCTAAAAGGCGATGACCACCTCAGGGATGCGCCCTCAGAAACTGAGGGAATCCTGAAGACGGGCATCGGCGTAAAGTGATGCTCCTTCTCGGGATTATCAGGGATGTGTTTCGGACTGGTATTTCTGTCAGGTAGACCACCCAAAGCGGGCCGCGCAAAGCACGAATTGGGGAGACAGGGCGCGGGCGGGCGGGGCCTCAGGCGGCCGGACGGCGCGGGGTGCAGGCGGTGCTGAAAAGCTTGCACAGGAAAACGTACGCCTTGGACAGGAGCCCGAGGCGAAGTCCCGGAGGGAAAGCGAAGTGGTGTTGCCGTCGACGGCGCGTCAAAATCACCATCCACAAGTGCTGCGTGCGGAAGGACGTAACCAGGTCGACGTCCAGGAGGTAGAGGTACACCAGGTAGGCGAAGAGGAACAGGTGCCACCAACTGGTGAAGAGAGGCCCTGGAGATGAGGATGACCACGAAGACGATGTGCATCGTTGCGCCACCAAAGGCGGAAGAAGACACACCTCGTGAGGTTCGGTGAGACCACGCCGTTGCGCGGCCTGCCAGCCCCACCGGAGCGTTAGGTCCCGCCGCGGGCAGCAGCTGGGCAGGCCAGGCTGAAGAACTGCCATCGAAGGAAGTTGGGGTAGCCCCCTCGACTGGAAAAGAACCCAGCCCTGCGAGGCCGGGCGAGAGCACACTGCTTGAGAGAAGCTGCTGCCTCTCCCCCTGGGACCCCCCCACCCCCGAGGCATAGCGGTGAAAGAAGAGGCCGCCGACGTGACCGTCACCAGCACGAAGGGCCCCGCCTACCCCCGCGGCGAGGCGCGCGGCGGCACGAGGGTCAGAACGACCGCCCCACACACAAGCACAGACGCTTGTGCGGCGGCAGCGGCCTCGCGCGCTTCGACGAGGCGGAGTAAGCAGAAGCACTAAACGCGCGGTCGCGGCCAGGCCCTCAATGATCTCCATGATCACACACACACACACACCGATTGGCATCGCGGCCACGCGCGCGGCGTCGCGGCGCGAGGAGCGCGCGCCAGTCCAGCTCAAGCTGCAGGCAGACGCTGGATCCACCGCCGCTCACGGGGGGGGGCATCATCGACAGCGCCGCTCACGGGGGGGGGGGCGCCGGGAAGGGGCAGTCAGGGGAAGCGGGGGAGTGACGCAGAGGGAGAAGAAGGGGAAGACGAAGCAGTGCGAAAACGACACACACACACACGCGCACACACACGCGCACAGCAAGCGAGGAGCAGCGGGGAGCGGAAACGGCAGCCACCCAAGGAAGAGGATCAATCCAGCATCCAGCATCGCCACGCGCACACGCACACGCACACGCACACGCACGCACGCACGCACGCACGCACGCACGCACGCACGCACGCACGCACGCACGCACGCACGCACACACACACACACACACACACACACACACACACACACACACACACACACACACACACACACACACACACACTTTGTTCGGGGATCGCGGCCTCGCGCACACCGACGAGGCGGAGCAAGTCGAGCGAGCAGCACGGAACTAGCGCGCGCGGCAAAGGGCTCTCAGACGTCGAAGTCCACTGGATCGACCGCCCATGAGCCACCCGGGCGTGGGTGGCGAGTGAGAAGATTGAGACACCGCCCGAAAAGGAAAGCGAGCAGCACGGCACACACACACACACACAGAGACACAACACCCATACACACCTACACACAACACACACACACACACCGAGCCCCCGACAGCACATACAACGACATCGAGGCCCACGACATCCACGCCCATGGCCAGCGGGCCACTGCCGCAGCAGCAAAGGCGACGGCAGGGGCGACAGGCACCGCGAAGTGTGCGGTGCTGGCCGACGCGGGCGGCTGGGCGGACAGCAGCAGCCTTCCTGACGGTGCGCGCACCTGGGCGGCCCGCACGAGGGCGCTTCAGCGCGCAACACGCAGTCGGGCCAAACAAGGGCGCTCTGGAGCTGGGCCGCCCGCGCTGGGGTGACCCCACGGTGCTACAGAGGCAGCCGTACCCAATAGCTGCCCTGCGCAAGAGCGGGCGGCTGGACAGACGGCATCCGACGCCCGGACGGCGCCCGTGCGCCAACACCGCAACGCTGGACGACACATCCTGGGCGGGGGGCTGATCGCCTGGTCCGCGCGCCTCTCTCCTCCTCCCTCAGGGCCCTCCGGGGCGTGCGCGCGCCGAGGGGCGGCACGAGGGTGGATTGGCCTCTCGAGTCGGTCGGCCAGTCCATCGAGTTCAAGGTTCAACATCCTGGGCGGGGGGCAGAGACGCTTGCCACGCGTGAGAGCTCCGAGAGGGCGGCGGCTGGTCACCCACAGCGACCGAAAGTT